CTCTTGAGACGCTTCGTCGAGGCCTCTCTGGGCGTCTTGGGGGCGTCTGCGGCCGTCTGGAGGCTATCTTGGGCATCTTGGACCGATCAGTCGGCGACTCGGAGCCCTCTTGGACCGTCTTGGGAACTATTGGGGCCCTCTCTGAGCGCTCGGGGGCGCCTGAAAGCCACGCCCAAAAGGAAAAACCCGGGGTACTTTTCGTCCGGGGGTCCCCAGGGGCCGCCACGCGCGCGCGAACTAGAAAGATTGTTAACCTGTTACCGGCGATCTTAGCACGCCTCTGGCCCGTTTGGCCGGCGAATCTCAATGTTCTCTCTCTCTATCCGTCCTTCTCCCTCTTCTCCTCTTCCTCGTCCGCCTGTCTTCTCTTCCGATTTCTCTTCTGAGCCTCTTCTCCTGCGCCTTCTCCTCTCCGGCCCCAACAACCAGCAGTAATGGACCTGGCCCGCCGCCGCGGACCCTCAAGGCCACGTTTCCAGAAGGACTTCAGCGCGGTAACGTTCCCGTTCCCTCTCCTCCTTCTCTTTCCCCTTCTCATCATCACCACCACCATTACCATTATCATCAGCAGCAGCATCACGATCGCCGTCGTCATCAACATCTCCCTCCTCCTCCTCCTCATCATCATCACCATTAACATTGCGGTCATTATCAGCACCAGCAGCATCATCATAACCGTTGCCATCGCCATCGCCATCATCAACATCACCATAAGCATCACCATTACCATCACCATCGCCGTCATCATCAGCAGCATCCTAATCATGGTTACCATGATAACGATCACCACCGCCATCACCACCATCATCATCAGTATTATACGTGTAGTATGGCTATCAGCATCTGCATCATAATGATGAGAACCGCCATTATAATCGTGATTGTCACTATCGTCACAATCAGCATCACCATCGTCATCGCCGTCATCATCACCATCTCCATCATCGTCAGCACCAGCATCATCATCCCCAGCAGCACCATAATCATCAGCATGACCGTCGCCATCATGATCATCGTCATCATCATCATCATCATCGTCAACACCGTTCCTTGTCCCGTCATCGCCGCCCTTCTCCACCGTAGAGGACATGTATCATGCGCCGCCTCTTCATCCGAATAGGACCCGCACGCGCGCCCGCCGCCGCCACTGCGGCACGAAATTGACGTACTATGGCTGTAAAAGTTTCGCCGTTCTGCTATATTTCATGCTACCATTGCCGCCATGTCTCCTACCTCCCACCACTGCCACCCGC